AAATAAAAGTTCGCATTTGAAATTGTACACTGAATGCATATAATACATTTAAAAATGTAGGAATACGAAACGTTTAATTAAATGACATGTAGAATGAATATACATTGTTTTATTTCCCCAAAAATTCACTGCTCTGTTTTCTTTTTTTTTTTTTTTTGGCCTCTTTTCCATCTTGGCTTGAAACTCAAAATTACCTGTAATCTAAATAGCAGCACCAATCCAATCGCCAAACAATTCAGATTTTCCAGTTTTCGTTGCATGCATGTGAAAGCAATGTTATTATCAGAATATATAATTAAAATGCATTTCTGAGGATGAAAACAGAAACATTTTTAACGTTTCATATTTCTAACATTTACTTTCCATTTTAAGCTATTCTTGCAGAAAACGCTTACTTTAAAACACAAAGAGTTAAAATAAAGTAAATGACAAGAAAATCGTAAATTATTGGCATCTGCGTGTTTCCTTCCCCTGAAAAAAAAACTTCATTTTAAATGAGTTATTAAACTCGCAAATTCTAAATTGAGTACCCTGCGGCTGTCTAGATAAAATTCCTCTTTTCTTAGCTTAATAAGAAACGACAGTGACAGTTTAAGAATTTATCTTCAACTTCCCAACGAATTAAGAAGGAAATTAAGGAATAATCGAGTTACCTCTAACTTATGCTTATTAAAAGTTTTCCTACCGAGACATAGAATTTTTCGTCTTTATGGAATATTTCCCATTAAAGAAACGAAAATTTTTAAAAAGTAATTGCCTTCGAGTAATAAAAATAAAGAATTAAATCTCTGCTATTTGAAATTTCATAACAGAAAAGAAGTTTATAACTGCGTGGTAGGTTTTCGAAACGAAGTCGTTAGTTTCTTCCAAAGTAATTATTGGAAACAAATAACTAATTTAAATAATCGAATGATTAATTTTTAATATGCGTTTGAGAAGTTGTGAAAGCTTTAATTATTATAGATAAGCTATTACCATGGAATTAGAATCAGAATTTTGCTTTATAGTTCCACAGCTGATATATAAGTAAAGATACTGAAAAAGAAGATATTTATCTCACTTCTTTAAGTAAACGTAAAATAATAAATGTGAGCAATAATTTTCATTTTATCTGAATTTCATTTTCGGAATTTGCTTTTATTCAGTTATTTTATTTTCTTTTCATTCCGTAGTTATCTTTAGTTGCAACTTGATAAAATATTTCAGTATCAAAATATTGTTCTTTTCCCTATGCTTGAAAATTCTCTGTTTATGATCCTTTACTTTGAATTCCTTTTTACACTAATGTTCAGGAACTAATGGAAGGCAGAATGGGAAGACAGTAAACTAGGGTAGTTTGGCTTCAATTTGTTTCCTCACGAATGATTTAACTGTATAGTTGTTTCGTAGCCTTTTTCTATGTACAGTGCGAATAAGATCGCTTCTGTTGTGTAATGTTGTTTTCTTAATTTTGATTATCAGTAATTTACTGTTAATCAAAATTAAGAAACAATATTACATAACACTTTCATTCAGAAAGTATTTTACGAGCACATCTCTCCTATGGTAGACAACCTTGCATGCCTAGTCAAATTCAATTAACTAACTAACTGTTTTGCATTCGAAGTGAAATAGTCATTTGGCTATATGCTAAATTAACGAAAGTAAAACCACAGTTCAAATTTCAGATAGATTCACATTGTGGACTATAATAATACAAGGTTATATACAAAATTAAATTTGTTCTAATCAAAACAATATTTTAATAATCCATTGAACAAGATTAATACTAATGTGTATAAATACATAATTAAAATGAACACAAAAACTAGAATTTTACTAGGAAATTAAATATTAAACATAATTCTTAACATGTCTCATCCCTTCTTGCTGTTAATTTGTGTCTTTGAACACGAGCTAAAACAAAATTGAGGATAATACATTTCTAAATTTCGCGTAATATTTCAGACTCTGATGCAACCTTAATGAACTTGTATACCAGAAGCAGCCAACCTGTGGCCCAAAGTAAGTATGAATGTCGCCCAAGAAACGAGCGCAAAGTCCAAAAGAATTATATCAAGAACTTTCAACACGGAACAGACAGGTTATTTGATATTCCGAATTGGAGCAAAATAAAATACGTTTTGAGTAGAGTGGCGGTTAAATATCTTCTTTAAACTTGTACGAAAAGAAATTATTTTCATTTTGATATATTGCGTTTGTATGTATCACCAAGATAAGGCTATTACGATCAGAGTTTCTAGACTTTCTCGTCTTCAGTCTGCGATGATCACCAGCGATGGGATATTTTCAAGTGCTTCTAGATGTGTTCAGTGTGATACCGATCCTCAAATCTGTTTCCAGCTTGTGTTTGTGCAGTGAATGTGCAGGTGAAAAATCATTCGGTGTTTCAAACCTGTATTCATATGGGTGCCGTAGTGAATAATAGTTCTTGAATTGTTATTTTAATTTTTTTTCGTTTCCGCTGAACTTTTATAAATTATACCTACCCAGAGACAAACATGTCTCGCTGCACTTCTTTTTTCACGCCCTTTCCTTGAAATATTACTGCCCGCCGTTGTAAAAAAGAATTAAAAGTAACAGTTTACACTTATAAATTCTCTATAAAATCTGCTTACAGAAGCTGTCTTCTCATCTTCTTCAGATCATCTCTTGATTTGACAAATCATAAGAAAATCAGAATTGTTGTTAAGCCATGAGCATGAAGGAAAATGGAAGAGATCTTAAGTAGTACTATGTGGCCTGTTCTGGAAAAAACATTTTCTTTACTCTTTGTTACTATTTTACTCAGTCGTGTTGATGGAAGTCCTTTCCTGGAGAACAAAGGCTTAGAACCAACACCCTAAATGTGTGAGATTTATTATAATTTTTTTTTAACTGTCAGGTCTGTAGTTAATAAGTAAGTAAGAATGTACATTTAAAGTCATGTGACATAGTTTAAAATTAGAAAATAACCTAAATTGTGCCCTAGTGATGCAACCTTAATGAACTTGTATACCAGGGGTAGCCAACCTGCGGCCCAAAGTAAGTATGAATGACGCCCAAAAAACGTGCTCAAAGCCCAAAAGTATTTAACTGTTTCACTAAGCTGTTTTGTAACTGTTTCACTAAGAAGTAGTTCTTAAGAACTAAGAAGTAAGAAGTAGTTCACTAAGAAGTAGTTCTTCTTTCTTCTATCCTCTAAGTTTTCAGAACTGCTCTTTTCTCTTGAATTTAATACAGATTTAGGAGTTACCGATCTCTTTGGATTAAACTCAAATTTAATGAAGGAAGACGGTGTTTAATGAAGGGAAAATCGTCGTTGTAAAGTGTTTGAAACTGATTGAAGCTACGTAAACTCCAAAATATTTTAATCCTCCATTACGTTCAAAACGTTTCACAAGATTGCAATGAAAGCTAGAAAAAGAGAAAAGTAATTTTAATTGCTACAGACGTTAGATATTCCTTCTTCCAGTATTACAGGCAGTAACATAATAATTCATGCAATGTAGTTTCCTCCAATAAGTTCATATTTATACAATTCCTAAAAAGTAAAAAAATTCTAGTTTGCATCTCGGGTCATTTAAAAGCATTTACAGTTCACCCATCAATCTTAAAGCTCTGGATGGAAGCTTGCCAAGAAAGTTCAATTCCCATTTTAGGATAGAAAAGAATGACCTCCTGTATGTATTTATGTGTGCGGGTGTGTGTCTTGTTGCTTTGTGTCCTGTAGTATTTAAAAGATAACGGGCTGTAGCAAGATCTTACTTAAAACATAAAATAAACTGGCCAGCTCAGAGAAACTGAGTACCCTTTTTATCAAATGGATTAAGATTTTCTCCCATGCGCAGAAGCATTGCGGAGATTAGAGCCTTTTGGTGAAAAAATGCGCGAGGGAAAACATTAATCTACTTTCCTCTCGAAAATACGAACTTATTCGAAGCAAATTATGCACAGCTAGAAGCATAGATACATTTCTGACTTAACTATACTTCTAGCTATGACATTTTCTGGCTAAGTTGTTTCGAACAAGATCGTATTTTTCTTATTAAGCTTGAAATAAAAGTGTTCATGTTTGTTATGTATTAATTGTTATTATTTCCAAGCTTTAGGTTTTACTTACTTAATTTAGTTTTGATGAGTAATTGAAGTTATTAATTTTTGCTTTAGTTGTTTATAGTTAGTTGTAAGTTTAAACTGTAACGTTTTGTAAACTTTAAATTTAAGTCTGGTTGCTTTAAAAGTTTTCTTATGTTGAAGTTGTTTAATTTTAATTTAAGTATAGAACTTAAGTTTACCTGTTTTCTGTACTTTTTGTTTTTGACCCTTAAGGTTTTTTTTTACTTTTAACTTTAATTATTTTAAAGCCTTGTTGCTGCACTTTTGATGTGTTTATTTTTTTAAATTTTATTTGAGGTAACTTAATTTTTACCCCTCTTTCTTTTAAAGTATTTTGAATTCACATTTTCTGACTGGTGGTAAGGTAAATCAATAGTAATTGAAACTCAATCTGGATAATGAGTGTGTATACTTAATTTCTGCTGAAGAAACAATTTATATTGTGCTTCCATTTTTAATGAATTTAATTGCTAAGTAATAGTTTAATTTTTAATGTCCTAAATTCGTTTATTGTGTTGAAAAACTATTCATTGTTATAAAGTTGTCGGCTGAGAACTTGTTTCTCAGAATTCCTTATCTGGGGATTACTGCACCCCGAAATTCTTTTTCCCAAGAGTTTGAACACATGTTTGATGTCTTCACCACATGTTCTGATGACTGCGCCACGTGCAGTATTTGCATAACCGGGAACCCGTTTGCTGTGACATCTCTAGCGAGGAAATATTCTACAGAGAGTTTGGTTATGAGAATGAAAAGTCGTTGGATAGGAAGCTCGCAATGTTGGAGCTGTGCCTCGAGACGAGGCTAGTTTCCCCTTTTCCATCAGCAGAGAGGAGGTTTACCCAGCGGAGTGGCCTTGAAGGCCAAATGGTTGAACGCGATAGTTGGCATCTTCTGGTAGTCGGGGAATCCTTTCCCGTGAAGATTTCTCTTTTTGGGTTGCTGTGCTTGGCGTTCTTCCGATCATCTTACTTCGCCAATTTTTTCAAAATTGCGCCCGGTACTAAAGTGGCTGCACAACTGGGACTACGAAAAAGAAGAGAGCGAAAACAAGAAGCATCACAGCGTGATCGTCACAGTACCTCTTCCGAAGTCGAAAAATTCCCTACGAAGATGAGAAATATGGAATGGCTGCTGAGTATGAGAAGAAAGCAGAACCTTGGAGGATAAAGCACTAGATCCAACAGGTAAAACTCCTGCGCCGCTGAAGGTTTAATTTTTCGCCTAAATTAGAATGACGGTTTGGGACCTGCAGCCCAGGAGTCTGCCTAAAGGAAATTGCAGAACGGTGGAGTTCCAGGCTGGGGCCTCGAGATCAGCATTTAACTAATATTCTCTTATTTTTTCTTTTGTTTTACAGATTTTCCCTCCCGGTATTGTACCCTACAACTACAGTATGAAAAATTTGAACGTAAAGAATGCCAGTGTACTTACGGAGGGGTCCTCTCCCATAACTTTAGAATGTTAAATCATTATAAGGTATGTGCCTGTTTATTTTGATATGTCAGTAAAAAATGTTAACGTTGATGACCGCCACCACCCAAATTAAGCAAATTGTAACTGTAAACCTTTAATGTTTCTAAATAAAAGTAAGATTGATTTTACTTACCTTGTATTGTTTTAATTTTAGTTATTTTACGCTGGACCTTAGTAATAGAATGAGTTTAGAATCACAACGCAAACCTTTTTGTGTAATTTAGAATTGTTTTATTCTTTATGTTTCACTCTGATAATTACACGTATTGTTATTTAATGTGATTGATACAGTATTGGTTGAGAAAAATGTTTACTGATGTTGAACATATGCACACAACGTCCAAAATCATATTAGCTAAAACATGAAAATTTTCTATTACACAGTAATGATATTTAGTAATACCTATTGTATATGTTTATTTAGTGTTCTACAATAATAACTTGACATGTTCCTTTTAATGGAATCATTGGAACTTATCCACAGTACTTTGGCAACATAAAGCTACTGTTAAAAAACTTATTAAATTTCAATAAATAAATTTTTACATTTCCTAGGTAGAGAAAAATCAAATAATTTTAAGTCCCTGGCAGTCATCAATAACATAAATTAGCGGATATTACAAATATAGGGTGTCCCAACAAAACCGTCCTATTCAGTGTACTTTATTTTTAGAAAATAGGAAATATTTTTATATACTTAAAACACTCAAAAGTACCGATTTAAGAATGTTGAGTCTAATTTGATTTGGCAACATTGATATTTTGTCACAGTCACCACCTATTTCACAGCTTTATTGCAGCTTGATCAAGGTGAAAGGTTACTCAAAAGAACAGCACGTTTTGATTGTGAATACTCATTACTGGAACGGCAAGTGTTAGGAACAAACTATTCGAAAGCTTCGTGCAAGCTTTGGATGTAAAAATTCTCCTAATGAAACAATAATTTGGAAATTAATAAACAAATTCCATGATGTTGGTTTTTTTCAGTAGACATTAAATAACCACGCTCTCGATGAAGCGGTCTATTCAAAACATTGCTATTATTCGGGATAGGGTTATTGAAAATCCCAAAAAATTCGAACTTAGAAACCTAGAAAATCTAACAAGGAACAAATTTAAAGAGGAAATTCAGTGTGTCATAAACCACGGCAGAAGGCATATGAGTATAGTGTTCTAGTGCAAATGCAGGGCATGAGCACTTCCTTCACTTTCTGGGCAAGTGGAGGAAGTCGGGGAGGACATATGCTTGGCATTATTTTTCATTCTTAAATCGAAACATTTATCTATTGACATAAATATGTAAAAATATTTTCAATTTTCTAAAATTAATATATTTTACTGGTGCATATTAAATCCAGCGCTTTTCTTGGTACATCCTTTACTTTAGACTAACAGATTCAAGCAATATATTCTCCTTTAAGCAATTTCATGTTTACATAAAAAACACTCACAGAATAATGAAATATTCGTATTCCAATTAAATTTTAAAGCAAACAATCTTCTTAATATACAAGAGTCAACTTTAGGTGCGTGACGACGTCTCATGCGAAACAACCCCAGTAGGGATAATAAGCCTTAGGGGGAAACAGTTTACTTTATGATATTTTCAGTTGGTCCCGAAGACTGTTTTAAAATGATCAAAATGAATGAACTTATGTATATATCAGGAAGTTTTTAATCAATAATAATAATAATCATACCAATACGACAGCGGTCCTTTAGTTGGCCGTACCTGATCTTAACTTACATATCCCTGCATTCTGATGATATTTTCTGCAAAATAGTTACATTTAGAAGTAATTTAGGTGCAGTAAAAGATGAAATTAGTTTAGTGTCAGTAAGACCAAAACTGAAAAAGATGAAAATTTGAAGAAGAAGAAAAGGAAGCACACAAATGCTAAGAAGTTAGCAAGTTTCGAAAGCTTCATAATAATTTATCGTAATTACATAACAAACTAACGAATATCAGTCAATATCCGGCCTTTCTTTGAAGGAAGCAAAAGGTAAAATTAATTAGTTAATTTATTTTACTTTGAAACATCTTCGTAAGAGATAAAATGTTTCAGTGACAACTTTTACAATCGCATCTCACTTACTTGCTTACTAAGGAAGTAGTAGAAAATTAAATTTAGATACTGACTGCATAATTACGCCAATTTTCATTACAAAGAGTTTTGGCATTGTAATTCTGTCTGCAACTTAACAGGTGTATTATGAAATAGCTTTCGATTTCCACCTTAAATTTAGTCAAATTACCCCGGGTTTGATCGCGCCGGGTATGTCATAACCACACCCTCCGTTTTCTCGCTGTTTCTCTCCAAACTTTTTTTAAAAATGGATGCTTTTCCTTGTAGCTGCCCCCAAGGTCATAACCCTGGAAGGGAAGAATAAGGGAAAGAGTTGTAAAAATAGATATCTTGTAATCGTCACTCCAGGGTATGTCACACCCAGCGCGAGCATTACTGTTACAATTCTGAGTACTGGTAGACGCACTGAAATCGTATTCTCGTCATGGCGCGTTTTCGAAGTTATGATAAAGAAATGCGACATTTAAGAAATTTACTTGATACTGTTTCTTCCGGTGAAGAAAGTCTCGAGGAAGGTAATGAGTTTTCCGATAATGATGAAGGCGGATGATGAAGAAATTTACAGAGAACACGAATCTTTGTCTGAAATAGAATCTGATTCAGAGGGCGATCTTTCTGATTCAAATGAAAGTGACTATTTTATAGATAAGAACAATATAACAAAATAGAGTAAAATGAAATTCCGGTGGAAATGTTAGAATTTCTGCTAAAATATAATTTTTGGATGTCTTGGATGAAATGGCTGCAACGCATTCAACGGCTAAAACAACAAGTCGTTGGCCCACGGCTATTTTTTATTCCATGTTGAATATTGCTGCAATAAATGCACGGATAATTTTGTTATCAACAAAGGAACCACCTTCTGAGCATCAAGCCCGACGTTCATTTCTAAAAACATGGCATTTAAAGTGATAGAAGATTATAAAAAGTCAACAAGCAATGCTCCTACAAAGCCTAAAAGTAAAACCGAGCAACAATGAGGCCGATGTACCTCCTACTAAGAAGGTAAAGACGACATATAAAAGATCTGCTGAATGCGGGCCCAATAAAGACAGAAAAGCTAAGTTTGTCTATGAAAAATGTAAAAAATATGTATGCATGGAACATATGGCATGCATTTGCCGGAAATATGCAAATTAAAGGTAAAAGTTATAATATACGCTTAAAACTATATTCTCTCTTCCATGTTTTGGTTCTTTTATATATTGTGCAAATTTAATGGTAAAAGAGAGAAAAAAACCGCCCTAGGTATGTCATACCCAGCGCCAGCAATATCGTTCATTTTTTCTCGCTCGAGTAATGCCAGGTTAACTAATAAATAAAAGCTGACGAATTAAGGAATAAAGCGCAGAAGAAAACACGTGAGAAATTCTAATTCAAAGTCCTTAATACTTTTAAGTTTATGAATGTTGGATGTATCGTTGATGGTTTAAAATCTTACAACAGTGAACAAAGTGTTTATCATAGATAATTCAATTATTCGTTTAAAAGATTATTTATTTCATGTATTAATTTCGTTGTTAATGTATAATGTTAATAATGTACGTAAATTTCTTTACGTACATTCGAAACACATACGTAAAGAAATTTCTGTATAACTCACCATTTTTTCTAATTATAAATGCCAACCTGTTAAAACTAACCTGTTGAAGCTAATAATGAAACTTAGTTTGAATTATTTAGTAGACGCTAATAAGTTGTATTTATTTTACTGTAGTTCCTTTACATTGGGTTTTCACCTCTGTTGATATCAAATTGATTTCTCCTCAAATGTTCCTGTATGTAATTTTTTATACTCTGTATTTAGATGATAATTTTCTTCTTACTTTTGTAACATTGTTATAATAAATGAACATGACTTTTTTTTGTATGCATTTCTTTAACAAATCTTTTCAGATCATTTGATTTCACAGGATAGAAAATTACTCCAGATTTTCCGATGGAGACGTGATTAACTAAAGGTGAGAAAACAAAATCTTTCTATCTTTTCGAACATTTCTTTATTAATAGCAATATACTTTTAAAGATATTATGGCTGAGCATTCCATGACCCAGATATTAGGATCACCAAATTAATTTAAATTTAGTTCCTCTTTATTAAAGTAGTGTTATCAAACTCTTCAGAACGTATTTGTACTAGATGTGTTGAGAGGGTTTGCTACTTTTTTTAATCAATCAATGTTGAGAGGGTCTATCAGATTCTTGTGTTCCTTGTTTCTCTAGATGGATATTCTAAAAGCGATATATCTAATTTCCATACAAGTAAATCTGCTATATCACTGTAAGTTGTCCTCCATGGTCAGGTAACATGTATTACTTTTTCAAAGTTATTCTTTTAAAAACCTTTATTACTCTCATGATTTAATGAAAGCTGAAATTAATTGTAAAATGCATCATTTTCAATGTAAATAAACGTTTTGAATTTTCTCGTGGATCTACTTATGCTTCCCTTTTGGCTAATAAATCATTCAACAACTAGGCACACAACAGAATAGTTATTCCTAAATTTAAGGTCTCTAGTCACATATTTAGTTAAAACTATGCCCACTTCTATGCTTTATTTGAAGAATTATGTAAATTGTCTTACATGCTGGTATGTTTATTATTATTGCAAAATATATATATATATATAACTACAGAAATGATAAGCACAATTAAGGCACGAATTTCCGCGGAGTTCCAGATGTACAGTGGAATCTCGGGTCACGAACGAGCCTCATAACAAGCAATTCTGTTGGTGAATAAATTATTTGCATAAACATGTCACGGATAATAAAAAATGAAGTCAGCAACATGAGATATTTAAAGGTGTTTTGAGGTTATCTCTGACATAGAGTTAAAACAAAGATACTTCCGGAAATACCAATTTTTAAAACTTAGCATCAAGCGACTTAGAAGATTATAAATTAAACCGGTAGGAAATTATGAGTAAACTGTGTTGCAAGGAGCGAATTTGAGAGCTTTGACACAGGATTGTTTCTTCTTGTCAATGATATTGTCTCTCCAGGCAAAACTAATGTCTTGGAAGTTAGCAATAAAGACATGGAAAAGAACCATGAAAATGAACTCAATAAAGAACTGAAACAACTTCAAAAGGAGTAATAAAAAGCAACAGCGAATGGAGTGTCCTCGTTGGAAATGAGCTTGGCTCTTTGATGAGCGAAATTTGCGTAATATGCAAAAGTTTGTGTATTGCTATCTGCCCGATAAAACAATAAAAGTTACATCAACAGCATTTTATCCGCTTTCTAATGACTAAGATAATACTCATTTTAAAAAAATTTTTTAATTAGACAATAAAAAAATCACTGGTGAATTCCAGGAAGCGGCAATCAGAGTGGAGTACAGCTGAGAGACAAAAAATAGATAAAAGCAAATTTTCCAGTTAGAGAGTTATGTAACGTTTCCATGACAAGGAACTTCTCATCTTGTGACATCTCATCCACATCATTTATGCTATCCACTCTACTTTGTACCAAGTGGATAAAATTAAATTAAATGTTTGTCTATTTTATCAGTTTTGATTTGTGTTTACCACTTTTCTTTTACATTTCTACTGGATTTGTATTATGAATTTATGTCCAAGATACTGTTATAGAGCGTAAACAAATAATCATCTGTTGTGTTTAGAAACGGACTAATCCAGTTTGCATTAATTCTTATGGAGAAAATAGTTTCGGTTTCTAAATAGTTTGGATGATGAATGGCTTTCGTGATCGAATTACATTCGAGAACAACAGCTTCACTGTATTGACGTATAGTTCATTTGAAAAAGGCTTAACCGCATCTAAACTTTTAGTTTGAGTTTTGTTTGAGTAAACACACAGGAGGCTACAGGTAAAAAGAATAGTGATAGGCTCAATTTACAGCTCAACGAACACAAATGTTTAAGTAGAACGAGGAAATAAATGCTCTGTACTAAATTCAAAACTTTTAAACATAACATTCCAAAAGACATTCCTTGTATAAATAGTAATATGAAAAATAGATTGACTTATACTTCTTACTGACATAACATGTACAAGCAGTCCGAATTTCGGAACATCACTAACACGAAAATAAGTAGACAATAAATCTTTCGTTTCTAAAATCAAATGTAATTTATCTATTTTAAAGTTATAAAAGCAGAAACCACTATTAGCATCACAATGCAGTATGCTGACGTAGTAGTTAAATTAGTTACTACTTATTTACACTAATTTGTTATTATTCCCACCTTTTTAAAGGATAAATGCACAAAATTAAAAGTTCCTTTCACATTATTGAAGGCAATGTAACAATCTAAAAGTACTTTTTTATTTATTTTTTTTATTTGTGCCATAAGACACTACATTACTTTTAATGGTTAGCTTTGCGAAGCAACAGAAGAAGCATGAAGATACCAAAAAAGGAGAACGAAGTTATTATTTAACACTTTCACAAGAAACGTTATTCTCCAATAAATATTGAGAAAGTCAAAAGGAATGTATATTATAACATTTTTTCAAAATAAATCAGAGTAACACTCTTTACTTTCAAATGTATTTCTGTGAAATATTCTCATTTTAATGTCCTTACATGTTTTCAACCAATTTATTGCATACATCAGTTACTTTTCATGCATAAAAGATCATAGAAATAAGTTACATGCATTTCAGTAAAATAAAACCAAGATGAAAGTTTCGGATTTGTTAAGAACTGTCAGTGTTCATTTAATGTTGATCAAGAGATCAAAGGAAAGTATTTACTGCTGGCGTTTCAAATACTTAAATTCAGCTCTTCTCTCAGAGCCTCGGGAAATAAAATTTTGCCTTTTATTTTAGAAAGTCACTTTATTTTATCTGATTATAAAATTCGCATTTAAACTTGTCTAAATATACAACTCTCTCATGTTAATAGATATTAAGAGGTATTTATCTTTCATAAAAACTTCTAACACTTACTTAATATTTTTATAAGTCATTAACTGGATTTTGTTCTCTGATTTCGCTCTAGTTACTACTGCTTCAATATTTTTCAAAAGATAATTTGTTTAAAATTTTAATGTCTGCTATTCCGTAAATAAATGTAACTTTTGTCAAATATTTAAAGAAATTTTAATATGTTCCCTTCGCTGAAGAAATAAAACTATAGAATGAACAATTGTTTTAAATTATTTTAAAATCATAGACTAACATATTGATAAATATATCATGTATTTTGCTACATTTTTAATGCTACAGTGTCTCACAAAAGTGATGGGACACTTGTGATTTACAAAAGGAAACTGCAATAAAATAAATTAAAAAACATGTAAAAAATTTTTGTGGGTGTGTTTCATACTTAAATTTAGTAAAAATTATTACATAAAATACATTTTCTCAAAATATTAATTTAATAAAATACAATTGTTTAGAACGGAGCAAAAAATGGCTTACATAAGTGATGGGACACCATTAGATACTACTACGTACTACAATAAAAATATTTTGGGGGGTTTTTATTTTTCTCAAAAGCAATTGGCAGTAATTTATAAAATCGTCTGCAGTATTTCTTTCCAGTTTGTTTTGGAATTTTTGTGTTTTTTAGCTCTGTGCAGCCATGAATGCTAAACGAAAAGAAACTTTGTCTGAAGTTTGAAAATAAGTTATTAATTTGTATATTGAACGTGGAAAATCTATAAGAAAAACTGCTGAAACAGTTAACTTGAGTCATTCAACAGTTTTCAGTATCATTAAACGATATAAAAAGAATCCTATGATTCAGGATAAAAGAAGACCTGACCGACCATCAAAGCTATCCAATGGAATAAAACGAATTATCGTTCGAAATATTAAAAAAAAATCCAAGAATGAGTGCTCCTAAAGTTGCTGCTGATTTACAGGCATTATATGGAGTAATTGTTAATCCTGAGACTATTAGAAGAGTAATTCGATCTGCTGGATGTCACGGTAGAGCAGCCGGGAAAAATTCTTCGTAAGTGAAAAGAATAGAAAACTCAGTCTGGCTTTAGCAAAATCCAACATAAATAAGAACTCTGATTACTGGAATGAAGTTATATTTGCTGATGTAAATTTAATATATTTGGTTCTGACGGTAGAATCTTGGTGTAGAGAAAACCCAGGAAAGAATTTCGCAAACAGAACTTGGTGCCAACAGTAAAACATGGTGGAGGAGGAGTTATGGTATGGGGGTGTATGTCGTCCGCTGGAGTTGGTAATCTTGTTTTTATTGACAGTAAATGGATCGGTGCAAGTATATTGGCATTTTAAATCAAAATTTGAATTCTTCAGCACGAAAATTGAACCTTCATAACGATTTTAAATTCTACCAGGACAATGACCCCAAGCACATTGCTTAGAACGTTAGACTCTGGCTGCTGTATAACTATCCTGAAATAATAAAAACACCACCACAATCTCCAGACTTAAATCCCATAGAGAATATTTGGCAAGAATTGGAATCAAGAATTCGCAAACACACCATTTCTTCAAAACAAAAATTAAAATCGGTGCTTCAAGAAGAATGGGGTAAAATCACTCCAAAAATCACAAAAAATATTAGTCGAATCCACTCCAAGAAGATTAAATCATGTTTTAGAAGTAAAAAGAAATCTAACAAATATTAAAACCTTTTAAAAGTAAAATTTTTGGATAAATATTTCATGGAAAAGTAAGTGTTCCATCACTTATGTGAGCCATTTTTTTCTCTCGTTTCTTGTATTTTTATTTTAATTTTAATATTTTGAGAAAATGTGTTATGTAATAATTACTAAATTTAAGTTGAACACCCACAAAAAAATTACTTTTTTTTTTTTTATAAGTTCTTTAAATAATTTAAAAAGATTCCTCATTATGAACATTATATTATGTTAAAGTAATTCAAGTTCTAAATAATAAGATTTGAATTATCCTGAAATGTGTAGTGATAATCATAAAATTTGAGAATACAAAATTTTTATTTAAGTCTATTATTCTATGAAGTGTTGATAATACTCTGAAGAGTTTTTGGTTTAAAAAAAAATATTTTAACT